AAAGGTGTGCAGCGTCGGCGGCAAGCAGAATGCGGCCCACGCGGAACTTGGGTGCGCAGCGTTGGTGCATCTTGTAAGGCGACATGTTGATCAGCTTATACTCGCCCGGTTTTGGATGGCCCGGCAGCATTAACTCGAATTTCCAGGGCTGTCGCTCTTGCATCTGTTCCCAGGTTAAACCAGGAGCTTCACCATAGGTCACTCTGTACATCCCGTCTTTCGTGAGTCTTGCTGCCATCTGCGTATTTCCACGTAAGCAAGTCTCTTTTCTTCCAACCCAGGCCCATGCTCGTTTTACGGAATAAAAGTCCACAACTCACATAGAAATGATCGGGGTGTAATATGAAGTTAGAGTCTTTGAACCCGAATTTAGTGAAGTCGTAGTAGATCTAAGTCTCGATTAGCCATCACTGAGCGGATATATAACAAGTTTACGGCCTGGCGACTCCAGGAGTCGAGAACATACGTTTGTTGCTACGATCTGCCTCTCCCATGTGAAGCCGGGATACTCGTCGCCAAAGAGAGATTTCCTAACAGCGCTTCCTGCACCGTCACACCCAACAACATAGTCTCCGTAGACCTTTTTCTTGCCCTCGGGGGTTTCAACGTCTACCCAAGCTTGTTTCTCATCTTGACCTGTGCCAACAACCTTATGCTTCCAACTAATCTTGCCATCATACTTAGTCAAAAACTCCTCGAGCATCAGCTCGTCCAGTTGATCCAAGACCAGACAAGCCATGCGCAGGTCTTCGCCATTCAGGTTTTCTAGGACTTTGGCGTCCATTCCCGTGATCCAGCTATGATCCTTGAACCGTCTCCAGCACATGGACGTCGGGCTCATGCCCCGCCTGCGGATCTCATCGATGACTCCCGCCCTACGCAGATCCGGGATGGCGGGAGACCCATAGATTGCCGCGCGCGGCTGCTTGTCCAACTCGTGGGACGCTTCCAGGATCTCCACCGGGATCCCATGTTTGGATAAGAGAAGTGCGAGTAGTAGACCCGAGGGCCCAGCTCCTACAATAAGTATCTAATGCCACCACTTGTGTTAGTAGGTGATAATATCGTCATGAGAAAGTGGGGGAACTGTGTATGATTATGATCGATCATATATCTGAATGCTGTACCTTTTCGAATGGACGTGACATGATTTAACAAATAACTCGCTTTTGTATAAGGTATCGTGGAGAGGAGTAATCTGCAATAAGAAGACGCGGGGTGCAGCAAAATAAACACCGTGATTCGTTTTAAGTCCTACTTAAGTCTTAAGCAGGCAATCCGTTCCTGGTATCGTCATAAATTTACCTAACCACTTGGCCACGTGAATGTCACCTACCTACCTAGATCGGTATTTAAAGCCCGGCTTTGGTGAGTGTTCGCACACTTGCCGAAGACGTAGGTCGGGCTAATAAGGTCGAGCCGACACGCTTCCCCGCAACCTCCCTGTATGGTGGAGATGCCTCCAGAGCTGTGTTTGTGTTTGGGGTACGCACTTAGCGGCTTCATGACTTCACGGCAACCGGCTGAAAAGGCTGATGTATGGCCATGCCGATCTTTACAATGATCTCACCATCTTTAAAAAAAACGAGGCATAAATACCTATGCAAAAACTATCCGCCTAAGTACCTTTAAGAACTTAACTCTGCCGAATATTCGTGTTTTATCATTTTACAGTGGGTTGATTGTCATGCCACTTATATCCGGAGTAGAATTAGGGATCATCGGATGTCTTAAGCATGCATTCTTACATAGTAAGTATTTAGCTCTCAATCCCATATGTATTATCTCAGATGCCTAAAGTCTTTGTGCGTAACTAGGCCAAGGCAAGTGTGGGCGTATGTTTGATAGGGATATTGGTATAATAATATCTATTACGCTGAAGTAGCCGCCTTCTTTTAAATAACTATAATCTGACTAGCTTGCTGATGATATTATGACTGAAGAATGATCATTGGTATACTTGTCTCTTCCATCCGCCTTCGGCTTCGAATATCTCCCCTACGGCCTTAGAGACTCTAAGTAGGTGCCTATCGTGATATCTCGGCGCAACCAATGATAAACCTATCGGTAATCCGTTCTCGCCCTTAAAGCCTGGGATGTTTGTCACAGGTGTGTGGAGGGCCTGTGATCATTAATGAAAAGTTTCTCTGATGGCATTTAGAGACAGCAACTCACCGTCCAGATGGCGTTGAAAGCTGGGCTTCCGGTAGTTTCCCTGCCTACCGGAGCTTCATCGACCACGCTCGGCGTGAGAATAGCAGCGTATCTGCTAGCAATCTCGTCAATCTTAGGTCTTAGAAAAGCGATACCATCAAATGCTTCAAGTTGAGCTGCCTTCGATATGTTAAACTCGTTTTCGACGTGGCCAACCAGCATAGGCGCTAGTTTATCTTTCGAAATTCGATACTCGGGCAGAAAGGTTGCTCGTCCGTCAGTTCGCAGCACTGTGCCATGCCATTCCGGTAGCTTATCAAACTCGGGAGGTAACTCGATCTCTTCGATTTCCGCCCCGTGGTCTCTCAGTAGTTTTGCGCCTGCCTCCAATGCCGCGATGGTTCCGGGACCTGCCTGCGGCCAGACCATCGTCTTGAGGATGGCGATTTTTGACCCTTTGATGGAGAAGTCATCACGCAGTGGGACATCATCGTCGAGTTCGAAGACATCGGCCAACAGTTGAAGGTCGTCTACACTCCGAGAGAAGAAACCAATCGTGTCTAGAATAAGAGAGTACACCTTCAGGCCCTCACGACTGATCGAGTTCCACGTAGGTTTAAAGGCATATACGCCGTTGAACGAGCCCGGACGGATAGTGCTTCCACCTGTCTGCGTACCTAAACCGATGGGTGCTTGAAAGTCTCCCACAGCCGCTGCAGATCCGGAAGATGAGCCGCCGGGGGTGCGCGTTACATCGTGAGGGTTCCTCGTTTTGGGACCCGCGGTGATAGACGCAAACTCTGTCGTCGTTGATTTGCCTACCTGAAATCAGTATGTGGATCACCCTCAGCCGCAATCTGTGAGGCCAACCCTTACCGAGAATCAGTGCCCCCGCATGACGCAATATGATGATAGATGCAGCGTCGAGTTGCGGTTCGTCTCCCTCGTAAATCGGAGAATTGTGTTGAGTCGGCATACCTACGAAGAATCAGGGCCTTTCTCTGAAAAGAAAGAGCATGAAAAATGCTCTTAAAGTTGATACCTTTAGTATACATTATGTCCTTCACTGCAATGGCCACACCATGTAGAGGGCCTCGCTGTTCCGGCGATATGGCATCGAGTTGTTTCGCTTGTTGGATCACATAGTCGGGGTTAAGGTATGCCCAGGCCTGGACAGCAGCGTCCCTCCTTTCGATCCGTGTGAGGAGGGAGCGGGCATACTCCTCGACTGTCAGCGTACCATCTTGGATTTTGGTGAGGGCTTGTGTTGCCGTCAATTGATAAGATTCCATTTCCGAGGTTCCACGACAGCCTTGGGCAGTCGGAGTTGAAATATCGTTCCCACTTGGAGATCGCGATTCTACTTCTACACAGTATGGCGCGGTCATATGAAGGTCTAACTATATTTGCGTTGCTCCCATCTTCCCGACCGAGATCGGAATGTGTCAAGGAACTGCTAGATCGGTACAGCAGTAGGGCCCCACGGATAGCCGGATAGGTTTGGATCGACCCGAAAATACCACCAGAAAAAATCAAGAGGGACATCATACCTAAGATTGATCATTGTTACTACATATATTGCGGGTATATTGTACACAAGTTTTCCTAATAATAGTACTAGGTACTATTAAAGAAGAGGTAAGTGCGGAGAAAATGTCTTAACAGCATTGCCTTCCAACTTTATAAGCTACTGTCAAAAGCGAGTTTTTCCAACAACGGATTCTTGAATGGCCATTGGCTAGAAAAAAAATCCATCGCCTCTTTATCCAGAGGTTAGATGGCATTCCTCCGTGGCGCAATTGGCTAGCGCGTCTGACTGTTACTTTCACATCTGTGATCTGGCGATCAGGAGGTTGACAGTTCAAGCCTGTCCGGGGGAGTAGAGCATTATTTTTTTCCACTTTTCCTTTCCTCTTAAAGAGTACGGGTACATTACTTAGTTTGACGAAATGCGAGTTGGCTTTTTAAGGGTATTTAACATGATAAAAACATTCAACGTTTAAAGTAATCCTTTTTTTCCTAAGCATTAAAACTGAGCCACACTAAATCTGCAGTGTGGCGAAGCAGCGCTCCCGAGCGGTACCCACTTTGCCATACAAATTTACATACAAATTGAAGTACTCCTTCGGAAATGCCACACTTCCAAAAACACCAAAACCAACACAACTGTAACCTACTATTACACGTCTAAGATAGGGCCCCTGTTTTCGGTTTTCATATGGATGTATTTGAAGTGCAAGTTCAGGGCAATTGAAGAGGCCCGGTTGCACAATCTACAGGGCCCGATTCAGGGAGATATTACTGTTTAAAGTTGAACATATATTCGATTCCGGCGGGAGGTACTGTAGTGGCGGGGTGCGACGGTAGGTACTCGCAACACCGGTCGCAGTACTTGTTGAATACAGCTACCTAATAGTCCATTCGAAACTGGAATAGGTACTCGACAAGACGCTTTCCGCCGATGCAACCTGGTTCATTCGCTGCGCAATCAATCAATTAGTAAATGATACAAGTTTGAATTGATTTCAAAGTTGTTTCAAGAACGTACTAGGTCGTGTAGTGAGGTGCATGTGGGATTTAAGGTTTTAAGGCTTAAAAGATACTTCGATTTGTATGTGTGGTTATATGGGAAAACGTGTACCTTTTGAGCCCGGGCCTTCGGCTAACCCTCGGATTTCCCGTATGGTTCACTACTGCGAACTTAGCGAAAACGTATTGCAAAGTTACCCAGTGTTGCTCTAAATTAAACACAAAATTTATACATTATTGTCTTTGCACTTTACGTTCGTGGTAAAGGATGGGAATTAAAAAAAATTTCTATAAAAATTAACATAATTCACTGTTTCCTCCCCCGGACAGGCTTGAACTGTCAACCTCCTGATCGCCAGATCACAGATGTGAAAGTAACAGTCAGACGCGCTAGCCAATTGCGCCACGGAGGATTAGGATTGCTAAGGAATCTAAACGAGTCTCCTTATACTTGATTTGCGAAGAGTAATGCTAGCTTATATATCTGACTTTTTTCATCGGCTCCTTTCTGCCACAAATGGAAATATCAAATCGGGTTAATAGTCTCTCCAAATCACTGGGCATCCAAAGGGGTATGCAATTCCAGTCGAAGCTACTACTAAGTAGGTAGCGAAAGATACAAGTGGTCGCGAAAGCATCCATAGCGGTGCTGCATCACTGGAAGCGTGAGCTCATCTTGCTTTAGTACCAAAATTCGGTCATCACATAGCTACTTTGCCACTACATGGAGCAAAGCGCCGCGACTCGAACAAGTTGCGTCGCTATCACACATTGGCTGCCGGGACAAGACTGCAAGCAGAGTGGTGACTAGGTGAAAGTGGATCATACATCATACGCCGTGACCACGCGACTTTTCCTTTGATATTCGCCGGAAGAGCTCTGGGAGATTTGTATCGTCGAAAGACACAATCGCGGAACCATCCCGACTGTTTTTCTCTCGCAAATTGTCGAATGCTAAGAGTAACCATTGGAAATTCCTCCTTGGTCTCATTATTAACAGCATACCTATTGGTTTATCGTTCTCGAAGCCGCTGATAAGCAGAGTGTAACAGTTGAATGGAAGGAAATCGACGCCAAAGGTAACACACCATCACCATGCGTCGACCAGGAAAACCACTCCGCTGCGAACATGATCCTACTAGGTAAGAAATCGGGTCTATGAAAAGGCTACATCCTTCGCAAAGCTACGGATGTTCAGATCGCAGCCACAACTGAGCGCTAGCTCAATAGATTGGGGAAGTCTGGTGTGACATGTTGTCTACTTCCCAACTCTCGCGGTTAATGGTCCGTCACGATTGCGCCAACACGTCATTTTTAAAAGAGGAGTCGAGGTTCCAATTCAGCACAAATTTTCAATCTTCTCATCGAGGCCTTGTAAAAGCACTTTCATGAAAAATCTGTTGTCGGTCGTGAATGGATAGGTACCGCTTCCGGCACGAATGCGCTAAGACTGGTGATATAGATGGATAAGATTCCGGTTAAATGTAAAAGTTAGCGACGGCGTCGAGGCTACCTACCGCTATTACTAGGTAGTACTAGTAGGTATCAGTACCTACTAGGTAGGACCTAGTTATTTCGCTAGCAGGCACGCTTTACTGGGTTCTAAGCCCGTTCCGAGGTTGCTTCACTGCAAAAGGGGCGCCAATTGCAAGCGAAGCCATGAATATTTGAGCACTTGGCGGAACCACTTATTATACGCTAAACCATTCTAAGGGATCTGGTACTAGGATAATATCAACGACCTATAACTTTGTTCATCTTTTTATAATTCCAAATAATTAGTGAATAAAAGGATGAAATTTCTATAGGAATACGGATCGTACGTTTTATGCAAGGGAAAGTTCTTGAAACTTTTAAAATTTTACGAGATTTATCGTCATTTTAAACGTCGAAAATATCTTCATTTTGATAGAAAAATTGCTAGAGCGTCCAGCTGAATATGGTATAGTGCGACAAAATTGGGTCTAGCGTATAAAGAAGTGGTTCCGCTAAGTGCTCAAATATTCGAGAAAAAGCGGTATAAGCACGATGCGGGGAAATGTTATTTCTCATCGCCTCAAATTATCCGCCAACCGACTATCATCCTTCCCCAACATCTCGATAGCTCTCCATCAAGATGCTACTATACGCGCTATAGTCAATTCAGGCACCTTGAGACTTGGCAAAAGCATTCTGTCTTGCGTAGTATTCCTGTTATTGCATGAGCTTGACACATGCTCATTAAAGACATGCGGATGAACCTAGCTGAACAGGGTCGACTGTTCCGTGTCTACGATGGCGATTCACTCTAGCTCTCCTGCTCGGGTGCATTTCCTACATGGCACCGAAACCAATTTACTAGTTCCTACGTTGTATATATATACTACAATCGTATCCATCCTAATTCGCAATGTCTTTCGTATCCCTTCCGGTCTGCTCGTGCTCGAGACAGGCGAAACCAGAACTTTTCGTTCTATTGAGGGGCGGACCTTTTAACCCCATCAACCATGCGACTCTCACCCCTAAAACGTCATTCTGTAATAGCAGCGTTTGCTCCACTCGTGGTTGCTCTCGGGCAACAGCCTATCATTAGCTTTAGTGACAGCCCGGGGGCTTTTCAAATAGCTGGAGGCCCGATTGCTCAACCCCAAATTCTCGTGTCCAGTAATGAATTTTGGGGGGTGATTCGAGCGGCTGGCGATCTTGCAAAGGACTTTGGCCGAGTGACCGGAACCAACTTCACGCTGAGCAACGGAGAAGCCGGAGCCGAGCCGGCAGCTTACGAATATAAGCCAATTACACGGAATTATACACATGTGAGCTGCCCAGTTCGATTTTATGTTATCTATCACCAATGTTAAATTCACCATATATCGCCATCTATTCAAGCCTAGTAGCTCCTAGTCCAAGATATATACCTGTACCCAAGCATCTACATCGCTGTGAAAACGAGATCTCCTTCGTATTCATCATTACTAACACAACATACACACAGTACGAGGTTAATGACACCCAACGTTTCCACGGTCCCGAGTTCACTGACCCGTCAACCGAAAACATAGCTATAATTGCGGGCACGTTAGGACACTCTGAAGTTGTTGATGGCCTCGTTACTTCCGGAAAGTTAGATATCTCAGGTATCGAGGGAAAATGGGAATCTTTTACGACTAAAATCGTCGAGGACCCAATATCCGGTTGTGCAAAAGCTGTAATCATAGCAGGTAGTGATCCTCGCGGCACAATCTATGGCATATACGACATTAGCGAGCAAATCGGCGTCAGTCCGTGGTATTGGTGGGCAGATGTTCCGATCAAACAATTCAAGGAGATCTACGTTCTGCCTGATGGTAAAACTCAGGGCCCTCCTTCAGTCAAATATCGCGGCTTTTTCATCAACGACGAGCAACCTGGGTTATCAGGATGGGTTGAGCGGAATTACCCGGACACTCCCTACGGGGTTGGGTATAATGCCGACTTTTACTCCACCGTTTTTGAGCTTCTACTTCGATTACGTGCAAATTATCTGTGGCCGGCTCTATGGGCGACGATGTTCGAGGTCGATGACCCAGCGAGCCAACCGCTCGCGGACGCGTGGGAGATTGTCCTCGGAAGTTCGCATACCGAACCGATAATGCGCGCACAAAATGAGTTTGGAACATTTTACACTAATGAAGGTCTCGGGCCCTGGGCGTACAATTTAAACAACAAGACCATCGACGAATACTTTGTTTACGGTGCCCAACGAGCAAAGCCCTATGCTCGAAACAGTCTTTGGACTATGGGTATGCGGGGGACCGGGGATACTGCCATCGAGGGTCTGGGAGTGGAGTTTATCGTCAGCATGCTGGAAACTCTCGTTCATAACCAGCGCGCTATAATTGAGGATGTGCTAGATGTCACAATCGACGAGGCCCCTCAGCTGTGGTGTCTTTATAAAGAGGTTATGTCATACATCCAACAGGGCTTGACGATTCCCGAAGATATCACTCTCTTATGGGCAGATGACAATTGGGGCAATGTCCGGAGAGTACCTGTCGGGAACGAAACGATACGGCCAGGAGGCGCTGGTGTTTACTATCACTTCGATTATGTCGGTGATACTAGAAACTATAAGTGGATCAACACAATACAACTCGAGAAGACGGCAGAGCAGATGCAGCTCGCGTACGCTCACGGTGCCGATCGCATATGGATTGTCAACGTCGGGGACCTGAAGCCTTTAGAGATACCACTCACCCACTTCCTCGACATGGCATACGATATCAATCAATGGGGAGTGGACGATGTTGGCAACTGGACCCTTACCTGGGCCACTCGCGAGTTTGGCTCTGAGTACGCCTCATCTATAACCGAAATCATGACGCGTTTCGGCATGTTCGCCGCGAGGAGAAAGTTTGAGTTAGTGGAGCCTTACGTCTATTCGACTATCAATTACAACGAGGGAGATGCAGTATTGGGTCAATGGCAAGGTCTTGCTCAAGATGCGCAAGCAATCTATGACCAATTAAACGAAACTCACCAGCCGGCATTTTTCGAGATGGTTCTACACCCAATTCTCGGCGGCCAAATCATCCACCAAGTTCACATCGGCGCCGAAAGGAATATGGTCTATGCCAATCAGCACCGCAACGCAGCGAATGACATGATCTCTAAAGTCTTGGCTAGTTTCGATGCCGATGCTGATCTCACGATACGATGGGATAGTCTGCTAGACGGAAAATGGAAGCACATGCTAGATCGTAAGTCAGGCTACATAATGAAGATCCCAAGAATCCCCTTTACGGTGCTAATTCTGTAGAAACCCACTTTGGTTATGACGGTTACTGGCAACAGCCAATGCGAAACGTTCTTCCAGCGATGGCTTATGTTCAAGGCGCGATATCATCGATAGCAGGCAGTGTTGGAATCGCCGTCGAAGGGTCAAATGCTAGTATCCCAGGAGACGACAAGTACCACGCAAATTCGGGGAATACGCTCGTGCTCCCGTCACTGGATCCATACGGCCCTGTAATACGCTGGTTTGACGTGTTTTCTAGGGGTAAGGCTAATTGTGACTGGTGGGCAGAGACTGACTTGTCCTGGGTAAAACTGTCACAGTACAGCGGAACGGTAGGGCCCGATAATGGCACAGACAGTCGGGTTTTCGTCTCGGTGGACTGGGCAAGCGCGCCGCAGGTCACCAACAACACGGTCGCCAACATAAACTTCTCAACCGGTTGTGGCCGCGACGGCTTCTCGAATTGGTATGGCCCACCAATTGTGCAACTGCCCATCAATTTACGCACGGTTCCGGCCAATTTCACCTCGGGCTTCGTCGAATCTGACGAACATGTTGCAATAGAAGGGCCGCACTACCAACGAATACACACACCATCCAGCGTACCGTCAAACTCGGAGATCACTTACAAGATTCTAAGAAACTACGGACGTACGC